ATTCCAATATTTAAAGCTCAAAACCGAAATTTTGTCAGTGCCAGAAAAGAAAAAAGGTTATATTTTAAAATAATTTTTTGGCACTAGTAAATTAGACTAATTTATTTAAATATAAAATATTTAACATTGTTTTATGTAAATATTTCTAAAGGCAATAGATTATCGGAGGAGTCTATATTAAAAGTGAAACCATTTTTTGAGTTTGAAGACATAAGTTTAATCATGCCGGGTCAAAAGGACGTTAAAAAAATAAAAACAAGTGATCAAACTATATAGGTTCAGAAGAGACTAATAATGGTCAATCTTAATGATATTTTTAGGAAGTTTAAATACGAATTCCCTGATATAAAGGTCTGTTGCTCCAAATTTTGTTCTGTACGTCCACAGAGTTGTGTTTTATCGGGGTCAGGTGGCACACACAAAGTATGTGTGTGCTCAATTCATGAAAATATGAGTCTGATGATTTCAGGTAAGTAATAAATTCGCAAAAATGTTGATTAATATTTATTACATTTATATTTAAAATATTAAACTTGTCTACTTGATTTATATTTTTATCAGGAAGTCATCTGGCAAAATTTGTGGAAATCGAAAATTCTTCTTGTCACAAATGTTGAAGAGATTTTACTTCGTTTGATTTGTAACGATCCAAAAGATATATGTTATTTTGGACAATGTAAAAATTGTTCAAAGAATAAAATCTTATTTAATGAAATTTCTTCAATTTTAAAAAGAAATAAAATTTCAAAAATTGGACATAAACAATGAGTCTCAAATCCAAAAACAAGTTTGGAAACTGTAAATTTTACAATTCCACAATTTACTAAAAATTTATGTGATACGGGGAGAATATTTCTTCAACACTCATTTGTTGCTAATCAGCATGCTTCCTATCACAAAGATATAAATAATAATCTTAAAAGTGATGAATGTTTAATTGGTTGTGACTTTGCTGAAAATTATGCATTTATTATTCAAAACGCAGTTCCCGGTTTCCACTGGAATAATAACCAAGCAACTGTTTTCCCCATTGTTTTTTATTACAAAATTAATAATTGCATTAAACATAAAAGTGTGGTTATTATTTCGGATTGTTTAAAGCACGACGTTGTAGCAGTGTACGTTTTCCTTAAATCTTTAAATAATTTTTTTTCACAAAATTATCCACAAATTCGAAAATGCATATATTTCTCAGATGGAGCACATCAACAATTTAAAAATTGTAAACATTTTGCAAATGTTTATTTCCATGAGGAAGATTTTAATCGCTCAGCAGTATGGAATTTTCACGTAACTACTCATGGAAAAGGGCCTTGCGATGGTGCAGGAGCAACTTTAAAGAGAACGGCAAAGAGGGTCAGTCTCCGAAGGATCAGTAATGATCAAATTACAACGCCATTTGAATTGTTTAAGTGGGCAGAAAAAGACTCATCCTTGCCAAATATTTCAGTTTTGTACAGAAAATCGCAAGACTTTAAGGATGCAGATAATTTTCTTTCAAATCGTTTCCAAAGCTTGCAAGACAATTTCAGGGACGCAAAAAATTCACTGCGTTGAGCCAGGTAACAATTATACGTTAAAGGTGAAGAAATATTCCTACAGTGAAAATTTCGATGTCGTTAATTTCTTTAAATCCGAACGAAAACGTGCAACTAAAAGAAAATTATAATATATTTAAGTGAAAAATGTATATTTGATTCGTTTATTGTTTTTTAAAAAAAGTTGTTTAAACATTTTAAATTTTGTAGCTAAATTTTTCAGTGTTAAGTGTAAAAAAATTAAAAGTTCTATCACTGAATTGTTTTGAATAATTCAAATCATTATCCGCCCGAGTTGCGACTCGCTTAGGAGCTTGCACGGCGAACTTTAAAAATTTATAAATTTGATTTATTAATTTTATTTATAAAAAAATTTTTTTGTTAAAGTTATTCAAAAGTTGAGAAAAAATCTGAAACTTTTTCTTTCTCGGAAAATTTGTCTGAACTTGAAAACTTCAGAGTTATATGCCATTGAAAATAGGTCTACTTTTAAAAAACAAAAATTTTGAAAATTCGTAACTAAAAAATTTGGCCTCCTATAAAAAAACAAAAAAATACGTATCCGTTTTTATTCTATAGAGAATGGAAAAAAATATATTTAGCAAAATTTAAGAGGTCATAGGTAAATCTCACGTAGAATCGCCCATATATTAAAGTTATAATAAAAAATTTTCATATATTATATATTTAATTATTTAGTACTAGTTTATTGTATAAATAACAAAAATAATTAATATTAATTCGGTAGGAAAAAAGTTGATTTTCTGGCATTTTACTTTTTTTCAATCACAAAATAAAGTATACCATGACAGGTAAATACACTACTCTTTAAAAAAGTTAATTATTTAATAATGAGAGCTTAATTATCCAACAATATTGCATAAATATACACAGGAAACGTTAATTAATATTTCCTAATACCTATTTTACCAATATTTCAATTATTTTGTGCAAAATATTGCCTCAAACCTAAACGAACCGAAACTTGACCGAGCTTAATCAACTTTTCGGTTTACACAATCCACTAGGTAATGAGCGAAGCTGAAAACCCATATAACGTCAATTTTGTTAAATATAATTATTTTTTAGAAACTTCGACTGTTGCATTAATAGCTTTTTTAATAATTTACACCAATTTAACACACTTGGAAAAAAATAGAAAATCACTTTTTCCTTCATTTTTCTCAAGATATTTTCATTATGCTCACTGTTTCTAAAAAATGCGCGTATCGCTTCGGTATTAATACAAAAACAGTGTACTGTCAAGATACAAGTTTGACCATATTCAGATCAGCAATATCTATTTTCTGTCGAAAATTACGTAGGGGTGCCCACAATCGGCACTCTTCCCTTAATTTATAAGTAATTTAAAACTTGTAATTAATATAATTACTGTTGTGACGTATTATTTAAATTATATTATTATTTATATTACCATTTAAACGTTATAAAAAAAATATCAAAAGTTTTAATACTGTTATCTTGTTTTATAAAAATAATTGCGTCCAATACAAATTACTGTCGAAAACTTTCTATGATGAAATTTGTATTTGGTTATGCCTCTTAATTGATAAGTAACAAAATAAGTCTTGAAAACCTCCGAGCATTAAGTGACAAGCCAGTCCAAGCACTTTTTAAAAAACTTGACTGCCATTTTGAAATCTGACATTATATTCATAATCAGCGACACCAAAACCCCCTAGTAGCAAATTTTAAGCGAATCCAAAGCATTTTTAAAAAACTCATCCGCCATATTGAATCCGCCATTTTGGATTTTTTAAAGCTGACTTCAGAGTTGTGATCAGCGAGCCCAATAACCCCCTAGTAGAAAATTTTAAGCAAATCCAAGCATTTTTAAAAAAATTTGTCCGCTATATTGGATTCGACATTTTGATTGGGTTACGATTCGGTTACGTTTCGTTTACTTGTGAAAAATTGTCGTTAATCGACGAAATATGTTGTAAATAACTATTAGGAATGGTTAATAGACATTTAGAGTGCTTATTTATGCAATAATAAGAATAAATTAAGATATAATTACTTCATAATAAGTGTTTTAAGTGTACAGTGCATACAGTTGTTGAATTACCATATATGTATATTACCATCAGCTGCAGCTGTCAAAATTAATCTTTCTCCTTTCATTGAGAAAAGAAATTTTTTTATTCAAAAAATTTTTTTTTCAAAATTAATATTTTTTATTTTATTGAAGAAAAAAGTTTCTTTTGTGTCACAATTACTTTTTCTCATTTCATTGAAAAAATAAAATTTTTTATTAAGAAAAAAATCTGTTTGTGTAAAAATTAATCTTTTCATTTTATTGTGAAAAAAAATTATTATTAAGAAAAAAATTTTTTTAGGGAAAAACAGATTTCTTTGTGTTACAATTAATTTTTTTCATGTCATTGAGAAAAAAAAATTTTTTATTCAGAAATTTTTTTTTTATATTTGTGACCGTCCACAACAAAACAAGGCTTAGCTCCCAAAAAATCAATTTCGAGTTTTTGATGCTAATCAATAGATTTTAAGATGCTCTTTCACATGCAAAAGTCAGAAATTGTTTATGTCAATTACTTTTGACACTATAACGTTCTAAAGACGGTCATGTCAAGCGTGTTTCTGCTTCTACTTCAATCGCTTGCCCTGTGAAATTTACTTTGGGAGCTAAGCCTTGTTTTGTCGTGGACGGTCACATTTGTCGAAATAAAAAAAGTTGTTTTAATTAATCGATCTATTTTTTTAAAACTTATATTCACTTACACATTTGACACTCTAAAGTTTAATTTTAGAAATTCATTCACAAAGTAATTTTCAACGCCATCTACTGTTTAAAGCGCGTCTTACAGCTCCCGCTGATGGTAATATACATATATGGTAACTTGTAAGTAATATGTATAATATGTATGTATTGTACACTTAAAACACTGATTATTATTGAGTAATTATATCTTAATTTATTGTTATTATTGTATAAATAAGACCTCTAAATGTCTATTAACCATTCCTAATAGTTATTTACAACATATTTCGTGGATTAACGACAATTTTTCACAAGTAACCGAAACGTAACCGAATCGTAACCCACTTCAGTTACATCTCGGTTTACCCAATCCGCCAGGGATTTGAAGATTTATGCCAAAAAACCGTCTGACATAAAAAACTTATGACTCTAATTTTGTTACCACTATTAATTTTGTTAATTTAACATGTTGAATTGTATAAAAAATATAGTTTCAACCTCAGAATTAAAATTTGCCAACTCAACTTTTCTGGAACCTGAATATGACAATTTAAATAAAATGAGCCATGTATAGAATTTGCAATTAACTGTTATTCGACCCTGAGCCGTATTTAGCGTATAAAATGGTCCAAATTTAAAATTTACCATATTTAACGCAGAACCTATTATTATTACTTTGTTTATACGTTTGTATCTACGTGTACTAAAATCTTAATTTATACCTGAGCAGCTTCACGATTATCAGGTTGTTGCTGACCATATCCACCAGTATGACTCCAATCTCCGGTATTTCTTTGCGTTGTTGCTCCAATTTTTGCTCCAGAACCGGACCAAAACCAACCGTTTACATTTTGTGGTTGTAAGTCTGGTCTATCACATCCTTGGAAATTACATTTTCGACCTGAAGTCCAAATGTAACGAACATTACCTAGAAAATTTTTTACAAATTATTAGTTCTAATATGTGTAACTATTTTACACTAAAGAAGATTTATTTTAAAGCTTTTTTAAAAATATTTTTTTAAAAATTGAGTTGCTACGTTTAATATCTTTTGAGATGAAATTTAAATAAACGTTGGAAAGTAAACTCAAACTATATGAATTTAAATTTCTTTCTAAGTTATTGTACATAATATTTTCTTTATAATAACTTTCATCAAACTATTAATTGCTTTAATTGAATTACACAGGTCTACAAAATAAGATTTTTTTAGCTGTAGGGGTAAAGTCTACAAAAACCGTATTTTTAAGGTAAGTGTTTCCAGTGTTTTTTCTCCTTAACCTGCCAAACCGTACAGGAAGGACGATATTATTGAGTTTCATTGTGGCAACTTTTTGAACATTTTTTATGTTTCTGCTTACGTTTACGATGAAAATGATGCTTTGACCTAAATCGTAACTGCTAATTTTTCCGAGATATATAAGAGGTAAAGTTCCTGCAGTATACTAAGTTAAAAAAAAGTTGATCGGATTGGGCTGTAACTTACACATAGTTTACTACCAATAGAAAGATGATGTAATTCCGCATCCAACGAGCCCTATATGAAGTATTTTGGATAAGTGGATTGTTAATAAACAATTGCCTAACTTTTCAATTGTTTATAAAAAATACTCTAATCCATAATATTTCATATAGAGCTGTTCGGATGCGGAATTAGGTCAGTTTTCAATTGGTAACTTCAGAATTAGAATAACATTATTTATTTGTAAAATATTTCATTTTTTATTAACATTAATCCATTAAGCCCTAAATGCACTGAAATTATAGTCTAACTTCAAGAAATGATATTTTACAGAAAAAAATCCAAATTTTTCGGGAATCCTAAATTCAATGTATTTGAGTGTGCTCTATTCGAAAATGCTATTAAAAAATGGATAACAAAATTTTAAATAATGTTTATTAATGTTTGTTTGCAAACTAACGCGATTTTTTAATGATTTTTCAATAAATTTACAAATATTTCGAAAGGAAAACAATTTTTCCATCAGCCATCAAGTATATAAATCGTGCACTCGATTGTTAAACTTTAAACAAAACATATTCCCCCTCTCCTCTTGACTTTTATTTTTTTTAAATAGCGTCGAAAAGTTTAAAAAATTATAAAAAATATTTTAAATGTGCCAAATTTTTTAAAGTGTGTCCAAATTAACTGAAAATGCTTACTCGGGGGTTTTCGGGGTCGCTGATTACGAATTTAGTTTCAGAATTTGAAAAATCAAAATATCGGATTCAATATGGCGACTAACAATTTTTAAAGTCGACGAATTTAGCTAAAAATATTTACTTGAGTGTTTTTGGGGTCGCTGATTACGAATTTAAAAAATAAAAATGGCGGATCCAATGTGGCGACCAAAAATTTTTCAAGTGGACGAATTTAGCTAAAAATGTTTACTCGGGGGTTTCCAGAGTCGCTGATTATGAATTTGATGTCAGAATTTTGAAAAATCAAAATGGCAGATCCAATATGGTAACCAAACATTTTTAAAGTCGACGAATTCAGATAAAAATGCTTACTCGGGGGTTTTTAGGATCGCTGATTACGAATTTGATGTTAATGTTTCAAAATTTAAAAAGTCGAATCTATTATAAAAAACAAATATTTTAAAAATTGATTAATTTTTCTGAGTACATTTAGAATTCTAATTTTAGCCACCTAGTTCTGTTTGGTGTTGCTAGAATCAGTTGTTTTTGAGAATCATTTTTTAAATCTTTTTTGTTTTTTGAGATATTTTTGTTTTTTTTTTGAAATATATTATAAATTTTTTTGTTTCTATTCAATTCCTGATTTTATTATTTTATTTACTTTTATATATTATGCAGTGTTTTTTATTAATACAATTTTTATTTTTAAAATAAAATTTATAATTTATTAATAAATTTTTTTTTAAATTAAAAATTTTTTTTTATTTACTATTGTACATTATGCTGTGTTTTTTATTAATAAAAACGCAGCATAATATATATGAGTAAATAAAATAATAAAATCAGGAATTGAAAAGTAACAAAACAATCCAACAAATATTGAAAAAAACAAAACAAATAAAAAAAAATTTCAGAAAACAAAAAAAATGATTTTCAAAAACTATCTACCTCCTCGTGGTAAGAATCAGGCAACACCAATTAGGACTAGGTGGCTAAACACTGTATTCTAACTGCATTTATCAAAATTTTTTAATTTTTAAAATTTTTGGTCTTGATATTGGATCCGACTTTTTAAATATTGAAATTTTAACATCAAATTTGTAATCAGCAATCCTAAAAACCCCCGAGAAAGCATTTTCAGCTGAATTCGTCGATTTTAAAATTTTTTGATCGTCATATTGAATCCGCCATTTTTAATTTTTAAATTCTAACATCAAAATCGCAATCAGCGACTCAGAAAAACTCCCGATGAAACATTTTTAGCTATATTCGTCGACTTTAAAAATGATTGCTGCCATATTGGATCTGCCATTTTGTTTTCAAAATTCTGACATCAAATTAGTAATCAACGATTCCAAAAACCCCCAAGTAAATATTTTTAGCTTAATTTGTCGCTTTAAAAATTGTTGGTCGCCATATTGAATCCGCCATTTTGATTTTTTAAATTTTGAAATTAAATTCGTAATCAGCGACCCCGAAAACCCCCGAATAAATATTTTTAGCTTAATTTGTCGCTTTAAAAATTGTTGGTCGCCATATTGAATCCGCCATTTTGATTTTTCAAATATTGAAATTAAATTCGTAATCAGCGACCCCGAAAACCCCCGAGTAAGCATTTTCAGTTGCTTTGGACACGCTTTAAAAAATTTGGCACATTTAAAATATTTTTTATAATTTTTTAAAGTTTTCGACGCTATTTAAAAAAAATAAAAGTCTAGAGGAGAGGGTGAATATGTTTTATTTAAAGTTTAACAATCGAGTGCACGATTTATATACTTGATGGCTGTTGGAAAAATTGTTTTCCTTTCGAAATATTTGTAAATTTATTGAAAAATCATTAAAAAATCGCGTCAGTTTGCAAACAAACATTATTTAAAAATTTTTTATCCATTTTTTGATAGCATTTTTGAATAGAGCACACTCAAATACGTTGGAAAGGTTTCCCGTTAAATTGGGATTTTTTCTGTAAAACATTGCTCCTTGAAATTAGAATAAAATTTCAGTGTATTTAGGGCTTAATGGGTTAAGGGGTAATTTCAAATTTAAATTTAATTCCATTTATTATACTTAACAGTCATTATTCTTTTTCTCTGTTCATTAATTTACGGTCAATTAATGTTATTTATTATTATTTGTCTTCTAATGATAGAGTATCGTAGTATTGTCGCCCAGCGAAAAGAGACCCTTTCCGTCAGTCTTCTTCCGACTCGTCTAGAGGTGCCCCTCTGACCAATTGGAAGCGACTCACTCCTGGCTACCTGGTGCTCAGTAGAGGTGCGTCTCTCTGAACACCAGAGCCTTCCTCACTTCCTAGAAGGAGCTGTACTTGTTTCTGTAGGCGCTCCTGCGGAACAGTAACACCCTCCGCCCTCCTTCCACCTGGTGAACCGGACTTCTTATGGGCGCTCCACAGTGGAAAAAAAATTACCCTCTGTGGACAAGAATCTACCGACAACACAAATCTTAACCGATTTTAATATTTTTTTTTTAAATGCTCGGAGAGGTTTTTCCTGTAACGCACAACTGCGATAAATTTGATTTATTTCAAACTAACCTTAAAAATAATACCTAAATATGAAATTACGTTATTAGGATGGTTTAAAAAATGAAAAAATGATTAATTTTAATATATCAGAGAGTATTGTGAACCCTTTTTGATCACTGAATGCGAATTTGACATTAAAATTGCAAAATTTTAAAATTCAAAATGGCGGATGCAATATGGCAGGCAATGTTTTATAAAAGTCACCAAATTCACCAAACTCCCAGGTAACAACTTTCAAGCAAATCCAATTAGTTTTTGATTTTCTCATCCGCCATATTGGATCCGCCATTTAAAATTTTTGAAATTTGACTTCAGATTCGTAATCAGCGACCCCAAAAACCTCCAAGTAACAACTTTCATGCAAATTCAATGAGTTTTTAATTTTTTAATCCGCCATATTTGATCCGACATTTTGAATTTTTGAAATCAGACTTCAGATTCGTAACCAGCGACCTTAAGAACCCCTGAATAACAACTTTCGAGTGAATTTGGTGACTTTTATAAAACATTGCCTGCCATATTGCATCCGCCATTTTGAATTTTAAAATTTTGCAATTTTAATGTCAAATTCGCATTCAGTGATCAAAAAGGGTTCACAATACTCTCTGCTATATCAAAATTAATCATTTTTTCATTTTTTAAACCATCCTAATAACGTAATTTCATATATAGGTATTTTTAAGGTTAGTTTGAAATAAATCAAATTTATCGCAGTTGTGCGTTACAGGAAAAACCTCTCCGAGTATTTAAAAAAAAAAATATTAAAATCGGTTAAGATTTGTGTTGTCGGTAGATTTTTGTCCACAGAGGGTCATTTTTTCCCACTGTGCGGTTTCGTGAAATAAAAAATACGAGATGAAAACGTTTCATAAAAAGAGATGATTATCCACACAAAAATAAAAAAATGTAATTGTTTAAACGTTATTAGATTTCAAGATTTTTGTTGATCTCAAGTAATTGTTTAAACAATTGAATTTTTTATAATTTTTCTATAGAAAATTATCTTTATTTCTAATGTTTTCATTGCGGTATTGACCAACTGTTTAGCTATTTGTAATAGTTTGACCACAGCCTCTAATTATGACATATATTACACCCCTATAACTTCAAGGGGTGATTTCTACCCTTTAAAGTGGATCATGGTAGATATAAAAATATACGGGTATATATAAAATCGGGGATTATTACTTCCGTAAGTTTACTTGAAAAAAATTTATATACAAGTATACTTAAACTTTATTTACCTCTGGAAATTCGTTGTTTAATAAATTCGTTTTCTTGAGGTGTTTCAAGAGATACAGCATCCATGCAATGTCTACGGCATATGTTACGAGCATCTAACCAATCCACTTCTAAATTTCTTGTGGGTGCATGCTCCCAGCTGAAGAAGTAAGAATGCGCAACACCTCTTGCATCTCTGTACGAAGCATGACGCACACCTAAGAACAAATGAATATATATTTTGTTTACATTAAAACACAAAATAATAAGGTCAAACTGATAAAACGTTCAAGCGTTGATATTAAAAAATCATTCAATACATGAAATTGTAGAGTAAGATATCTAGTTCATTTACCGTTTGGTGTTTTTGAAAATATACCATTAAAAAACAAACTTCAAACTCATAATAAGCCACCCCAAGTAAAAAGTTTCCGGCAAATCTGATCAAATTTTTATATTTTGGATCCGCCATTTTGAATTTTCAAAAACCAACTTCAAATTCGTAATAAGTGACCTCAAAAACCCCTGTATAAAAGGTTTCAGGCAAATCTCATAAAGTTTAAGAAAATCGACCGCCATTTTGAATTTTTGAAAATTATCTTCAGATTGATTATTATATTGGTAGTCAGTAATCCCCAAAAGCTCTTAATATGGCTTGTCTGAATAATTCAACTAATTTTTGAAGCTTCAACAAAAATTATATTTTATTTGCATTTTTTTATTCTCGGTGACATATTTATATTTTCCAAAACACCAAACGGCAAATGAATCTAGACATCTTACTCTACAATTTCATGTATTGAATGATTTATTAATATCAAACCAATTTTGGGCAGTAAGGGTACAAAAATTTTTTTTTTTAATTTTTCCAAGTCTTACCCGCTAAATTTCTTTTACGTGTTAAAAAAAATTATCTTAATTTTTTCAGATTTTATAAACAATTTCTAGAGGTCGCTATTGTCGCACAAAGTACAGAAATCCATTATTTTCTAAAGAACAAATATTTAATCCGATGTTTGGTGTTAAAAATATTTCAGCATTGAGTAAAATAATGTTTCAAGAACTCTATCAGATTCTGCAATAAAAATTGAAATAGATTTCAAAAAAAAAATATAAGTACATTCTGACGAAAAAATGGTATTTTTTAAACATTGTCCGTCGTAAATAATTTTCTTGTGGTTTTACAGTATCAGCATATGTATGAACGCTTTCAATATCGCTTTCGCAAGTCCTGAGCTATATAAAGTTTATTTACCAATTTCAAAATTCAACATAACGGGCTTTCAAATGACAGTCAAGAGACTAAAAATGTTGTTTAATATCGAATATTATGGAATTTAATACTACATTCTATCACATTTTGATGAAAATGCTTACTGTTAGGGATTTGAGATCGTATACTGTAAACCTCACAACACAGTAACCAAATTTAAAATGTCGAATCTAACATGGCTAACCAAAAGTATAAAAAACTACTTAAAAATTGTAATGATGTTATAGTGTTGATCTGAGAATATAATGAAAGATGTTAAAGTTTTTGTTAAATTAATTTGTTTAAAAAACTACATGTTTCAGTACGTAAAAATCGGACAAGTGCGAGTTACACTCGCACTGAAATCGAGGGTTCCGTACTCGAAGCGAACTTATTTGGTATAAAAACAAATGTTTAAAAAATATGTGTTGTGTATTAAATAATATATGTGATACAAAAATGAACAATTTTAAAAAAAAAATTTAAGAAAATTGTTCCTCCTTTGGTATAAAAACAAAAAAAAATTTTAAATTTGTTTTGTATTTCAAATAATATAAGTGATACGAAAAGGAACAATTTTGTAAAATTTAAGAAAATTGTTCCTCTTTGTATCACTTATATTATTTGAAATACAAAACAAATTTAAAATTTTTTTTTGTTTTTATACCAAAGGAGGAACAATTTTCTTAAATTTTTTTTTAAAAAATTGTTCATTTTTGTATCACATATATTATTTAACATACGACACATATTTTTTAAACATTTGTTTTTATACCGAATAAGTTCGCTTCGAGTACGGAACCCTCGATTTCAGTGCGTCCGATTTTTTCGTTTTTTGCAAAAAAATACATTTTTTTATTAAATTTATCATTTTTCTTCAAAAATTTGATAAAAATTGATCATCAACTCCAATCGCGCTTAAATTTTTTCCCTGCATTTTTCACGCAAAAATACAGTTTTACAGCAAATGTGAACAATTTGGGTTGAATATTGTGTGCGCTAGGGAGAATAAATCATTTTTTTCGAAATTTTTGATTTTTCCTTGACAACGCTATGTAAATTGATCGGAATCAAGTTCGCTATATTTTTCCTGTTATTTTCACGTAAAAATACGTAAGTGTACCAAATTTGAGCTCTTTATGTCAAAAGATGTGGCTGCTAGGGGGGGGTACATAGTCATTTTTAGGTATTATACGTAAAAATTCATGGTTTTTCCTTGACAACGCTATGATAATCAACTCCAATCATGCTCGCTATATTTTTTTGTAATCTACACGTAAAAATACGTTAAAATATGTAAATTTAATTTCCTTTAAATAAAATTTTGTTCGTTTTTGGTGGAAAAATACATTTTTTTCCTAAAATCGTCATTTTTTTTTGAAAAACTTGATAAAAAGTTAATCATCAACTCTAATCGTGACCGCTTTTTTTCCCCTGTATTTTTCCCGTAAAAATACATTTGTATACTAAATATGAACTGTCTGGGTAGAATATTGTGTGCGCTAGGGAGAATAAATCATTTTTTTTCGAAATTTTTGATTTTTCCTTGACAACGCTATGTAAATTGATCGGAATCAAGTTCGCTATATTTTTCCTGTAATTTTCACTTAAAAATACGTAAGTGTACCAAATTTGAGCTCTTTATGTCAAAAGATGTGGCCGCTAGGGGGGGGGGTACATAGTCATTTTTAGGCATTTTTCGTAAAAATTCATGGTTTTTCTTTGACAACGCTATGTTAATCAATTCCAATCAAGTTCGCTATATTTTTCCTGTAATCTACACGCGAAAATACATATGTGTACTAATTTTTAGCCCTCCAGATAAATTTGTGTGGCCGCTAGGGGGGGGGGGGGGTACACGATTTCAAAAAAACCGATATTAATAGGGTTCCGAACCGAGTACGGAACCCTAAAAATACCCAGAAATAACTATTGGGAGGTTTTCGATGTCGTTGACAGTTCTTTATGATGTAAGCGATTACATCAAAATTTGATGAAATGATATTAGTTATTACTTACATGATACAAGTTTCAACTGTTATACGACTGTCATTTTGACATTAATAGGCGACTTTCCACTAATTCTAATATCGTATTCGCAACCAGAAATATCGAAAAGCTCCGAGTAGTTATTTCTAGGTATTTTTACGTACTTTTTTATACTTCTGGTTCGCCATGTTAGATCCGCCATTTTGAATTTGGAAAATCTGGGACCAGTTTTACAATCAGCGAAATCGAAAATCCCCGAGTAGTTATTTCTGGGAATTTCTACGTACTTTTTTATACTTTTGGTAAGCCATGTTAGATCCGCAATTTTGAATTTGGTTACTGTGTTGTAGTAACCCAGTAGGCACACTTGTTCCAAAGACGTCCTGAGGATGTCTTTTGGACTTCGATTAAAGACGTCTTTAATTTGGCCTCGTATGATACATCTTAACAACGTAAATAATATGTCTAAGGTACGTCTAAAAAAAGTTCTATGTCTAATAAAGATGTCTTTATCATGTCTAAAAGACGTCTTTTTCATGTTTTGAAAATAGAAAATTTTTCATAAAAATAACTTTTATATTTTATTTTCTAAGTTCAACATAAACATCGAAACTGTTTAAAATAAATGTAATAGAAATTTCTTAAGTTCGATTCATTTCATTGACAAATGAGTTCGTAAACTTTGTAAAGGATTTTATCTGTCACCGATAGCTCATATGCTTAAGGTGTAGAGTTTGAACCCAACGTATCGAGGGTTCGATCTCAGGTTCGGGTGGATTTTTTCATCCCGGATTTCTGTATAAGCGTGTAGAAATAAAACAAAAATCAAAATAAAGTCAAAATTTAAGTAAGATAATAAATAATTAATATGTTTTAACTTAAAAAATATTCTGAAGAAAAAAAAATTTACTTCTTCTGGCCAGACATAGAACGTCTTAAAGAAGTCCTTTGTATGTATTTATTATGTCTTCGAGACATTATTGTCAAAGTCCCAGGATGTCCTCGGACAAAAAAAGACGTCTTCAAGACGTCTTTTGGATATCCCAGTGCCTACTGGGAAACGATCTAAAATTACAAACAGTAAGCATTTTCATCAATATGTGATAGAATGTAGTATTAAATTCCATAATATTCGATATTAAACAACATTTTTAGACTCTTCGCCGCTATTTTAAAGCCCGCCATGTTGAATTTTGAAATGAGGTAAATACACTTTATGTAGCGAAGGACTTGCGGAAGCGCAAGCGATATTGAAAGCGTTAATACATATCATACAATAGCGACCTCTAAAAATTGTTTAAAAAATCTGAAAAAATTAGGAAATTTTTTTTTTACCATGTACGGATAAAAAATCAAGCGATTACAGTGGAGACATAAACAACACTAATTCCGCACGTGCGCTTTCTACGATATTCGTAGAGTAACATACCACATTTTTAGAGACCTATACTCTTTCAGTATAGGACCCTGCAAATTGGGTATGTTCACAGTAAAAAAAAATAATTAGGAGTAAGCGAAAAGAATTGGTGGTAACTTAAGCTGAATTCGGTTTGGCGAAAAAACCGAATTAGCACGTTACGGTGAATTATTTTTTCCTTACCGTGAATTCTTTTTTCTTGAACATTTGAATTAACGCTTGTTTATTTGAGTTTGCATTATAAATGATTAGAATAGATCTTTTGAAGTGTAAAAAAGCCGATTTGGAATAAGAAATATAATTTTTTTAAAAGAAATGAAACCGAAGTGTGATAGATTTACCGACAATTTTACCATGTGAATAGTATTCATATGATAAATTTATCATATGAACACTACACACTTGATAAAATTGTCGGTGAATCTGTCACACTTCGGTTTCATTTCTTTTAAAAAAATTATATTTCTTATTCCAAATCGGGTTTTTTACACTTCGAAACATTTATTCTATTCATTTATAATACAGACTCGAGTAAACAAACGTCAATTCAAATGTTTAAG